AAAAAAGAGAGAGAGAAAGAGAGAGAGAGAGAGAGAGAGAGAGAGAGAGAGAGAGAAAGAGAGAGAGAGAGAGAGAATGAGAATACAAGAACACGCTCAAATCAAAATTGAGCTATACACAGGGCTGTGAGAGGCAGGTGGCATAGCCAAGGTGAATCCCATGGGTTTTGACCCACACACAAGGTTTGGAGAACTTGGAGTTTCATTGTGGCCCCTGAGCACTGTGCTTCACCTCTCTGAGCCCTGTTTGCCAATCAGTAGACTGGAGGAAGAGTAATACTTATGCCACAGGGTTTTGTGAGCAGGAAGTTCAATGCTGGGCATTTGGTTCCTGGTCTGAAGTTCATAAATTCTCTGTTGAATGAATGGGATGAGGGAGGGAAAAGCTGGACTCAAAGAGCAAGGATAATGGTGGGTGGATGGGAGGGAAGTGGGGCTTCTAGGTAACAGGTGTAGTGAGTGTGGCAAGAGCAACATTGGTGAATGCAGGAGAGAAGGGTACTAGGAAGGTGTCAGGGATCATCAGGGCTGAGGTGACCCAGAAAAAGGGGGCTCTAGGTGTAGGTACAGAGGCCTGAAGAATGGTCTTCTCTGCCCCAGTCTCTAGTGGGAACTGTGGGACTGCTGAGGGTCATCTTACCTCCAGGCCCTTCCCACACCCTCCTGACAGGGACAGATAGCCACAGCAAGTGCTTAGAACCTATTCAGCCCCTGAGAACTTGGGAGAGAAGCTCTTCATGAAAGATGATCTTTGTGGAGATGTGGGAAGTGGGTGCTTTGATCCAAGCCCCTGCAGAGTACCCAGGGAGGTCAAGAGTGCAGCTCACACAGGACAAACCTGCCCTCATCTGCTTCCTCGTTTTCCAAAGTGGTGGCTCCCGATAGGTTCAGGCTTTTATTTGACTTTTAAAAAGTTATTTCATGGACTGGTAAGATGGCTCATGGCATAAAGGAACTTGCTGCCAGGTCTGACAGCCTGAGTTTGAGTCCCCAGGACCCACAATGGTACAAGGAGGGAACCGATTCCCAGGAATTGTTCTCTGACGTCTACAAACACACTGTGACGATGCACATGCCACCCCGCCCCATGCACAGAAAATGAATGAATACAAATGTAATAAATGTTCTATTTCAGGAACGGGGAACCTGCCACACTAGAGGTGTGTGTGTGTGTGTGTGTGTGTGTGTGTGTGTGTGTGTGTTAGTTAGTTTTCTTGTTGTGACAAAATTCCTAGCAAAATAAGCATAAAGAAGAAAGGGGTTGTTTTGTTTTGGCTTACAGTTTGAAACTTCACAGTCCATCACAGTGGGAAAGGCTTGGCAGTGAGACCTGCTCTAGCCATGGTGGCAGGAGCGTGAGGCAGCTGTGCACTTCGAATCCTTGGTCAGGAAGCAGAGAGAGAGGAACACTGCTGCTCAGCTTGCTTTCTCCTTTTTCTTTTTTTGCTCAGTCTGGAACCCCGGTCCGTGGGATGATGCCTCCCACTTCAGGGTGGGTCTTCCTCCTGTCACAGACACTCCCAGATATATGTCTCCTCAAGTTGACAGTGAGGATTAGCCATCTTCATTGATACCAATTTGACATCCAGACACATCACTCCCCACCCCCAAACACATCACTTTTAAACCATAACATTCTACCCATGGTCATCGAAGCCTCACATTCTTCTCATAATGGAAAATGCATTTAGTTCCTCTGAGAAAGTCCTTAAATTCTAAACAGTCATAACCCTGTTCAAAATCCAAAGTCAAAATCTCTTCTGAGACTTGAGGCAATCGTTTCACTGTGAGCGCCTATGAGAGAGAGAGAGAGAGAGAGAGAGAGAGAGACAGAGAGAGACAGAGAGAGAGAGAGACAGAGACTCTCAGCACACAACAAAACCCAGCAGGGAAAACACCAAATTCTGCAGCTCCATGTCTGGCATCTGGAGCTTGTGGTGACACCATCTGGGCTCCAGAGGGCTTGGGCAGCCCCGCCCCTCCAGTTCTGCTGTGTGCAGCACGTCGCTTCCTTTCGGTTTGACTCCATTCCGTGCCTGCAGCTCTCCTCGGACACTCAACTTAGCCTCACGTTCGTAGCTTCATGCAGTGGGTTCCTTGCAGAGAATCTGGCCCTGTCACACATTGCTTGACCTCAGCAGCTTTCTGGAACCTTGGTGCAAGCCTCCATGACTGCGCCTACCCCTTGCATTATACGTGTCTTTAAAAACCAACACCATAGACTGAAGAGATGCCTCAGTGGTTAAGAGCATTCACTGGCTGCCCTTGCAGAGGAACAGGGTTCAGTTCCCAGTACCTACATGTCATCCATGACAACAGTTCTAGGAGATCCATCACCCTGTTCTGGCCTCCATAGGCATGGTATACATGTGGTACACTTATATACATGCAGGCAAAACACTCATTCACAAAAGTTTTTTTTTTTAATTAAGTTAAAGACCAGCACCATGTGAAGCTGCTGACAAGTCCTGCAGCCACCATGGGTGCACCTGGCCCTTCTCCCACAGCTATAGTGGCCTCTGTGTGCCCTGATCCTGGGAATCACTTTTCTGGGCAGTTGTTTTCAAGAGAATCCTTTCAGTTGCATTTTTTTTGTTGTTCAGTGTCTTTCCTTTAAAATGAGTTTGTGTTTCCACAAGCTGGAGCCTTGGATGGGTAGGTCTCACCCCCAGATCATCTTTCTTATCCCAGTGCAAGACAAGAGGTTTCTCCTTATTTGTGCCAATCTCTTGAACCATTACAGATGCATTCTCCTTGTTAGTGTGTGTATGCACATGTGTGTGTGTATGAGGAAGTATGTATATACGTGTGGAGGCCAGAGGTCTCTCACTGAACCCAAGATCATCAATTTGGCTAGGCTGACAGGTCTATCAGGTGCTATCTTCTGTCCCATTAGCTGCAGCCATAGGCTCAGGCCAGGTTGCTGGGTTGTGGCCTGAGTAGATCTTAGCATCAACTTCAGGGATCTGCCTTTCTTCAACCCTCCACTGCTGGGATTACAGGTATACACCACCATACCCAGCTTTTAAATGGGTGCTTGGGATCCTAACTCAGCTTCTTAAATGAATGCCGGGGATCTAAACCCAGATCTTCATGATTCCACAGCTGACCTTTTACCTGCTGAGCCATCTCTCCAGCCCTGCAGCTATGGGTACCAGGAAACAGATGAGCACAAATGTTCACGGCTCCTTGCAGGGATTCCCACCCTGCAACACTTTCATCCACACCCACCTGTAAATGGCTTTTAACCACCCAACTCTCTTCCTCACCAAAGCACAGTTTTTAAAATCATTCTGCTGTTCTCTCTCTCTCTCTCTCTCTCTCTCTCTTTCCCTCTCTCTCTCTCTCCCTAGATAGATAAGAGCAATGAGCAGTAACCATGTACATTAATTATTTTCTCATTGCTGTGACAAAACACCTGACAAGAAGCAGCTTAAGAGGGAAAGGTTTATGCTGATTCACAGTTCCTGGATGCTGCCCATCATGGAGGCAGCGTGAGGTGGCTATTCACATTGCATTTGCAGTCAAGAAGTGGAGGAAGGTGAAAGCTGTGCCCATCTGGCCTTCTCCTTTTCTTTCTTTTATTCAGTCTGGAACCCCAATCCATGGGATGATGCCACCATATTCTGGGCATTCATCTCCCCCCTCAGTTAAACTTCTCTGGAAACAACCTCAGAAACACCTAGAGGTGTGTCTCCTAGGTGGTGGTTCCAAATCCCATCATGAGCACACTCCATCTCATCACCCAGTGTGCCTCTGGTCTGGAGAGATGTTAAGGGGAAATGCATAGCATTTATCACCACCAACTCATTAAATAGTCTGCATGTTTAGTTTGATGATTACATTATCTAATATGACATTCCTAAAGGTCAGAACTTTGTTCTATTCCCTGAGGACAGAAAGTAGTACACAGTAGATGCACAACAAAATGTTTGTTGAGTGAATGAGTGAACAAGGCAAGGGTGCTGTCCTCAGTTTTGTTAGCCAAGCAGATGAGTTTAGAATCTTGCCAAGGGTCCAGATTCTTAGAGAAAGAACTCTGATTGGTTTATGTCAGGTGCTAGCTTCTGTTCCATTTGCTGCAGCCACAGGTCCCCAAGCCAGGTTGCTGGACTGTGGCCTGAGCAGATCTCAGCATCAA